ATCTGGAAAGGTGGGAATTAGCAGCTGGTAGTGATAATTTTCCGATGCTTGAGAATTTAATACTGTTTGAATTGCCTAAACTAGAGGAGATTCCGGAGAGTATTGGAGAAATAATGACACTAAAATTCATCCAAATAGAATGGTGCAGCTTTGGTGTAGAGACAAGTGCAAAGAAAATTCAACAAGAGCAACAAAGCTTGGGAAATTATGAGCTTCTCATTAAAATTACTCCTATACCTATGGTATGTTAAAATTCCATCTTTGAATCAGATCACTTGTGTTTAGAGGCTTTATTTTAAATTTATGATCATTTGGAGCAAATTTTAAGGTGGTTTAATTGAAATTACAAATTTAAAGAACACGTCGTTGAACAATACATATAAATAATGCCAACCCTATAATATTTGTCAACAATCTATTAGTATATAATATGATAAATCAAATTCAAATACCACAAGGTACTTTGTTAATTTGTGGTGTATTTCTCAATTTGTTTTGGAATTATTTTTGGGAATTGTGTAGAAGGAATGAAAGACGAAGAGAGAGAAGGGTACTTGAAGGAAGCTGGTGCTGATTATATGCTTCCACATCTTCTCAATTTGTGAGTTATACTTCCAATTTAATGCTTTATTTCTTCTTTTAACTTTCTCCTATTACTATGTTTTAAATTGTAATCATGTATGTTGTAGCAATCATAGCGATCAGTTATGTCATAGAGTCGGAATTTTCACACACACAAAAAATAAGAATAGCATATAGAGTGTGGAGGAAAATATTGTTTACTTGCATATATATCAAATACAAGAAAATAAGTAACATATTATTTATTTTTCTAGAAAATATTTTCAACACACCTGTAGACTGGTTTTGTATAACTTGTTTTCCTACTCATCTTAGACAAGTTATTTTCCTCAGCTTGTGTTTCCTAAAGATAATTAACCAAACAAACCTGAGAAAATTTGAAAATATTAAGTGATATAGATAATGAGAATTCATATATATAGTCGATCTCCAGCTTGTTTAGAATAGAGACGCAGTTGTTGTCTTGGTGATATCTGTTAATCAGTAGCTTATTAGTTAATAAATCATTTTTTATAGTAATTATGCTCTCAAGCTTCCTGCAAAGAAATTTCAGATATGCATGGCGAGCCTAAGGCACAAGATTTTGAGATTTATGCTCCAATTGCAACGTTTGAAGATCCCCTTATGCTTAACTTGTCTATCTTATAGTAGTAGCCTTGTTTAGTTTTCAACGTATTCTTGTTATATTAGAAATGAGGAGCAAAAAAAAAAAACAATTTCAGTCGTAAACGACTCTATCATGCTTTCTTTAGTATTTTATCTTGGTTTTTTCACTCCCGTTGTTTTCTTTTTCCCAAACTGCTTTATAATGCTTACTTGAGCCAAAGGTCTATCAAAAATAACCTCTTTACCTCACAAGGTTGGGGTAAAGGTCTACGTACACACTACTCTCCCGAGACTCCAGTTGTGGGATTACACTAAGTATGTTGTTGGTTGATTGAATTGAGAGGTTGTAAGTAAAAATTCAGAGTAGTGCTTGCTTTCTGTTTTCTGCCTTTAACGCGTCTAGTAATTAGCATGTTCCTTTCAATTCTACTTCCATTCATAACTTGTATTGTAATCCTCTATATTAGTAAGGCTGATTATGAATTTTACTGTTGATTGCAGGGTAAAGCAGATAAAATCATCATCTATTTGCTTGGGAAGATCTAGGGCTCTACATATATAGGGTTGGTTAATGCCACTTTTAGCTATCTCTGTGTTCTTGTCATATGACATAATTTTGTCAAAAGATGTTCATTTTTGGTAAAACCGAATAAGGCTTGCTAAGTTGTGTTCTCCCTCATTGCTATAATGTGACTTGAACCCTCGACCAACTAGCTAAAGGCAGACAAGTCTCACGAATTGAGCAAGCCTCACTTGTCTTGCGAAAATATACTCTCTTATATAATGTTTTGTGTACTCATCACATGACATAGTTTTGGAAAAACGAATGAGGCTTGCTAAGCTGTACTCCCCCATTGGTTACAACATGACTTGAACCCTCGACTAATATAATTGGTTAGAGGTGGAGGTGTTTCACCAACTGAGCAAGCCTCACTCGTCTTGTCAAATATATTCTATATATACAATATAATGTTTGTTGAATAGTTTATTCATGTTTTTGAATGTTTTGCGAACAATGTTTGCAGCTGGGATAAGAAACCTTTACAGAATAGGGAGACAGTGAAGGTACCACTTGTTGGACGCGTGATTGAGGTATCTCGTAGAGCTTTGATGCTTTTAACACATGCTCTAATGGGGTTTGGAAAAGATCCCTCCATGTAAATTACAGTGCACTGTTTTTAAGTGTTTCAATTAGTTTTTACCATGTAAGAAATATGTATGTTTGCTTGAAAAAATGTAGAGATAATTATTCAGTTGATCCATTTGGGCCTCCATAGACAATTTCCATCCTATTATTTAAGTTATATTTCGATTTTAACCAGTATTCTAAACTTGGGATAAAACTTGTGTGCTCCTCTGCTTCTTTTCTAGTATAAATTTAATTCTCCATCTTAATATTTTTGACATCCCTAGCCAGTTGAAATTTTTTATCGTTCGTCACCGATCTATTATTCAAAGTTAAGGGGAGAGTTTGATTTTTAAACAAAGTTGAGGATTTAAATGCTTTTTACTCTGATTAAATATGATAAACAATTATACATGCTAAAACTCGATTTCTTTGATTTGAATTTGATAAAGTAAAGTTGCTTATCGATCCTCCATTTACAGAGTGAGTGAGTAATCTCATCTAACGTCAAAAATTGGATGACAGACACAATTCTTACTAGTTAATCTCATCAAACATCAAGAATTGATGGCAGAGACAATTCTTACTAGTTCTTCTCACATTTTTTGTGCAGTTGAAGATTATCATACATGTCTCATAAAAAATAAACCGAACTCTGACTATCTTGTATGCAGAGCAAATAAAAGATCCCAAATTCACACCGTAGCTCATTTGAACAAACAAACTTTGCACAATATTCAACTTACGTAGAAAATAAGATTATATATATATATATATATTCTTACGCCAATTGATGTGTGACATTCATGTATTGAGTCGTTAAATTGACCACATTGAAAAAGTCCAAACCCACAACATTCCCTAATAGAGCCCAAATGATTTGGCCCTATCAAGCCTGCTTATCTCTATAAAAGCCCATATAAGGGCAAAACACAACAAGCCTATTTATCATCAAACAAAATTTTTTCAAAAAAATACCACGAAATTTGCAGGACAATAATATATGTGAATCGGTCTAACTTATTGAAGCTAGGCTTCATAATTCAATTTGTATATACACGATTTTGATTAGTTTTAAAATGCCATGTCAAGCTTCATAAAAAAAATATTTCAAATATTTTGTACCTTCAATCTTGTATACTTGAAGTTAATTTTAAAATAACTAAACTTATAGAAATTTATATATAACATGGGTCAGTCACGAATATTTGACACCTCTCTTTAGAAATTACGTTATATAGTTAGATGAAAATATATATTTCTTTATGTGTGTACACTATATATTAATATTTTGATCTTGACTTTTTCGTGAATTTATTTTATATTATGATATTTTTATTTAAAATTTTGATTCCGCCACGTCGCGTTGTACCAAGTTATAGTGGTGTGTTCAGTTGAGTTGTCAGGCATGCGTGATGAGTCGCCTCATATATGTCATATGTGAGTACACTGTTTATGTTCGATATTAAGCTTTCTATTGTACTAATAATGGTACGGATGTTTTGTGTCATACTAAAGCCATAACCTTGTCAATGGCCTTGTAATCATAAATGATGATGAATGTGTAAGGGTGTAAAATGTGCGGGTAAAAGTTGAATTTGAACAGGTTAAAATAGATTAAGTTAATAAATAAGCAGATTATTGACTCGTCAAAAAATTTGTTGAGATGAAATAAGATAAAAAGAGAATCATCATCTAACTATGATTCTTATTGAGTTTTACATTGCTTTGTTTGTTTTGTTACAAGTTTTAGTACCTAATAAAATTATTATTTTTTCTTTATTTATGATTATATATAACACAACAAATAAAAATATCAATCTAAGCTACATATCCATCCAATTTTTATTAGATTTAAATAATAAATAGACAGATCAATAACCAATTCAAACTTGAATGAGTTAGATGAGTTATATTTTCATAGACTAATTTTATCATATCTAATTGACGGGTTTTTTTTTAAGGCAAATGATGATGATGTGGTAATTACTAGAGCATTCCTTTTCTTATTCTCTCTTTTCGGTTTGTTCTCAATTTATGTAACACCATTTAATTAGACATAAAGTTTTAAAAAGGCATAATACATAAACATGACTTTTTACTTGGCGTCAGCTAACAACTATGACCTTTAACTTTGGGTGTGCACAAATAGGCACTTAAACTTGTATAAAATTGAACAAATTGACATATATTCGTCCTACATGACACCACTACAAGAAAAGTGTGAATTACATGGGGATTTTCTTGGGGATTAATAAGAAAATTCGTAGGAAACTTATTTTCCTGCAAATTTTCATACTAATCCCCAGGAAAATCCTCATGTAATTCACACGTTTCTTGTAGTGTGCACCCTACATGGCAATTTCATGTCCTACATGGCATCCTATGTGTATTATGTCATGTAGGAAAAATGCGTGTACTTGTTCAATTTTATACAAGTTTAAGTGTCTAGTTGTGCACATTCAAAGTTGGAGAGCATAGTTGTCCGCTAAAGCTAAGTTAAGGGTCTTGTTTATGTATTATGCCTTTTAAAAAGCTAGAACTGAAGACTTTTGAATTTTTATGTCTAAAATAAATCTTAGATATTTGTGTGACTATAAATCGTTTCTATATAAAAAAGTGTGTCACACCCATTGAAACAGAAGAATACACATGGAAGTAAAACCCAGATTTTCTCATTTCACCAAATGTGTAGAAAAAGAAGTTTAATTTTGTTATATAATTATTCATGACAATTAATATTGAAGGATTAAAAAATAATGTGTAGTATAAAAAGACTCGAGCACGAGTTAAAGAGAGATTTAGTTGTAGGATTTGCATGGGATATTACACCCTAATTTTGTGTTCAAATCTTTGTTAGGATTTGCTAATTAAGATATGATCAGTTCCAAAATTCTAGGTCATGCTTTGCACATGCCATGCCTCTCTTTTTAATTTGTTTCTCAAGAAGGAATTATTGAAAACTATATATAATATGATGTAATATCTATGCATTGATGATGTTAAAAAAAAATATATACATTAATAATTATGTATAAATACTCCCTTCGTTCATGACTTTTACTAATTTAGTTTGGACCTAGCACATCGTTTGAGAAATAACATTTCCTGTATACTAATTTATGTGGATAGCTCGAATTTCATGAGTTAAATATTTTAATTTTGACTGTGAATTCGAGTAAAAAAATATTTAAATTAATTGAAATTTGAAGATTACATAAAAAGTATTATAAGTCAAAATTATTGCAAAATATTTGAAAGATATATAAAAAATTACAATAAAAAAATTTATTTAAATTTCGAAATCTAAAAAATGTCACATAAATTGAGATCGTGTAAGTAATTGATGATACGAGTGTTTTTCCATAATACCCACAGGCCACATTATTGATGTTTTGTCATAGTGGAAAATGATTTGGGGGTATAAGTGATGATTTTTAATTTTTTAGTCGGGGTAGGGGAAAATATATTTTTAGTGAAAATCTACAAAGATAGAGTATTTTTTTTTTACTCTTCATACCTGATGTAATTCGGCAAGTGAGGTCTGAAAAAAAATAAGATGTATGTAAACTTTATTGGCCCCTATTTTTGCGAGGTGGAGAGACAGTTTTCGATAATACATTATAGCAAAAGAGACATTTATTGCAAAAATAATCAATGACAATTGAGTCAATATCATTACATCTATAGTAGCTAAAATCTTTAGCGATATCCATACAAAGAACTGGCTATATATATTGTATTATATTATTGCCGCTAAATAATTATCGCAAAATCTTTTATTTGTTGCAATGATTCTCAATACATATATCTTATAACAGCAATATATCTAGTGTAGTTCCAAAAATGAAATCCTAAAAAAATAAAATATACGTAGATCTTATACCTATCTTTTACAGGATAAAGAGACTATTTCTGATATACTCAAAAAGTGTATATCTTATACTCAAAAAATTGAACAATATATTCTTGTTAACTTTAATGTTTGAGGGCACATATATATATATATCTTTTTGACTAGGTCAAGATCCTCATGAAGCAGTGTATATATTTTGAAAAGAACCCCACATAAACAGAGAAAAACAACAAGATATGTGCCTCTCTTTGTGTATCTTTATAGCCTGTCTCTCTGAATCCAAAACATTTTTTCATACAATTATTTGAATGATCTTATGATTATTGAGGGATCCAAGGCTTTCATCATAAGAGAGAGATGAGAATGATCAAAAGTTAACAAATTACTAATATAAAGTTAAAAAAAAGAAAAAAGCAAAGCAAAGATTCTACATATCATTCATTGTTTTGTTTGGCAGCAGATCCAAGAAGAGAGTTTTAATTGCTTACTTTCATGCACAAAAAAATGTAGTATAAAATAGCAAAAGAAAGAAAGATAAAAGCTTTATTTTGATTGTGACTATATGTAAAAGAAGCAATTTCTCTATCTTTTCCCTTTAATTAAAGAAAAAGTCTGCAAAGGAGCATGCTGTGGAAACTTTGTCTCCATTACATTAATTAATCTTTTTTTTCCCTCAAATATTTCAAAAATATTTTGGATTGGAATAATTGCATATTTGATCCTTCAATTATGGTTGAATATATTAATAGTTCCTTAAGTTTGTCAATATATTTCATTTAGACATGTACTCGAATAGTCGAATTACAGTCTATTACAAATAATTGAGCATTTGAACACATGATACAGTGTTTTTATTAGACGTTTCTAGCTCACATGTGCTATCAAGAGTCCATATATAAGTTAACTGTTTAAAATATATCAACTTCTTATTATTATCTTTCGACAAGATTTGTGGTGTTTGGGCGAGATTACACATACCTCGATTAGTTCTATGAGGTACCTATCACCTTACACTTGCACAACTATTTAGTTGCAGAGCCAAATGTACTTAAGGCTTCGTCAGACAATTACATTGTATAACTAGGTAAAAATATTTTTCTTATGTATACCTATTTTATATATATATATATATATACACACATACATACATATTGACACTCTTTTGGCTTCTTTGTGAATTTACTTCTTTATATTTTAACACTTCTTAGTGAAATTTTTTGTTCCACCACTACAAATACTAGATAACTCTATCCACGAAGTTTGGACATGCGGTAAGAAATCACCTAATGTTTGTCTCCGTTGAAAATTGAACATGAGAC